CTTACTAGCTTTTGATGGCGACTTCTAACGTATTAAAAAAAATCAATAACTGTATTATTTATTGACCAAGGGTTACATCGTTCATCATCTTTCTCCCTATCCTACTCCCGTAGGGTCGGCGCTACAGAGTTTTGTCCTCCACATAACTCTATCATACGTCATCTCAGTCATCATTCCCTTCTTGATCATGTCACCTTTTACGCAATACATCCATCTCATTCTAGGTCTACCGGTATACCTCCACAGTCATAACCAACGTTCTCCTTATTACATGCGATTCATCCCTCCTCATAACATTTCCATACCATGCTACCAACGGTTACATCGCTATTCTAGCAACATTACTCAAATATAAAGTCAATTATTAATTGAATTTTTGCTATCAAACTAAGATAATACGTCAAATAGATCGGAATCCAAACAATATTTAAAGATAAAAGGCTATCGAACTAATCATGATTAATTTACACGATGTTTTATCTGCGCTATAATTAACAATGCACTACAAAACCAATTAATACAATGATAATGGTGTAGGCGTTGCAAAATACGTGAGTAGACAAGCCGCCGTCATAGATAAATAAATAAAATTGATTGATTGATCAAGTTCAAGTTCATTGTTATATTTTATTTTATTGTATTAAATAAAATTTCATTTTGCTTCGAATGCCCATCACAAATGAAATATCGTCTATTATTGGTAGTCATGTTGTTAATGTGTGCACAAAATTAAATGTAATAGTTCTCATTAGACGTATTATAAGATAAAGACGCAAAATAATGCGATTTGAATTTGTTAATTTAAATTAAGTTAGAGGTAACTTTAGACTATATTTGTGTGTTTTATTTTATTCCTCATGGACGAAATTGCGGGCTACAGCTTGTACAATATGTAATCTCACTAATATTATAAATGCGAAAGTTATGTTTGTTAGAGTTTGTAGCCTAAACGGCTGAACGGATCTGGATAAAATTTGGCATAAATGTGGAGCATAGTTAGAAAGAACACATAGGCTACTTTTTTAATTCAACGCAAATGAATATATTAGAGGAAGTTTGTGAGTAGCCCCAGTGGCAGAGAAGGTAAGGAGTAAAAGGTTAGCATGGTATGGGCATGTTAGAATGTTAATTATGAGTGTGAAAGGGTAAACCAGTAGAGGTAAACCTAGAAAGAGATGGATGGATTGCGTGAAAGGTGACATGATCAAAAAGGGAGTGATGACTCAGATGACGTATGATAAACAAAAACCTGTTGCGCCGACCCTACGGGAGGAGTAAGGAGGGTGGAGATGATGATGAGGAAACGGAGTCGCGGGCTAAAGTTTTTAACTAATAATATCTCCCACAAATCGAGTCGTAAGACTTCCGTTGTCTAGGCAAGATATATTCATGTAAGAATAACACATTCAGCTCATAACGATAACATCGAAACATTGCGACAATTTCGGAGATGAAAATAGAATAATAATCATTTAGTTTTGGTTATAAATAGAATAAGATATATTGATGACTTATGGTTTATTTTTAGATATGCTAATGTAACGAAATTTAAAGTAGCTAAGCAAATATAAAAATTAGATTTTCAAACATTCATAGGAAACAAGAACACAAGCAGATTTTCGTAATTTTTCTTACATTGTGAAGTCAAATGGTAGTTTTTCTATACAAACATTATAAATATGAAATATTTGTATTTTTGTATGTATTAAAATAACTTAAAAACTACTAGGCAGATTTAAAAAATGCTTTAACCATTAGAAGGGTAATTTCTATAAGTAACATATACTATATTTTTTTTATTTCACGCGGACAATGTCGCGAGCAAGAGCTAGTTTTTAATAATTGAACAAGCTTGTCATTTCTTACAACTTAAGATGACAAGAAAAAACAGTTACTTATTACGTATTATATTAATAATACTGATGTTAAGTCAAATTACGCTGATTACATCAACATTACTATTTCACTAAGCACTTGAAATTGAAATCTAAGACGCAATTATTATTATTTTTACGACAAATTAACTACTACAACGGTTAAAGTAAAAAACATTTTAGTAATAATATTCAATTATTAAAACATTTAGATAATAAAACTAGAAGATTAACTTTGCAATATGTGTTATTAAAATGAAACAATAAGATGCATTTAATTTTTTTTTAACAGTAAGTAAGATGCAATATTTAAACAAAAGTTATAAGTTCTATGTTTACTTTTATTATACAAACTAGTTTTTGCCTTTGACATCATCCACACAAAAATAAATGAAATAGTTTGTAGCTTATGTGTTCTTCCCGACTATGTGGTACATCCATGCCATATTTTATAGATTCATTAAGTCATTTTGGTGGTATGCAATAAACTTTGCAATTCTAAAAGTATGAATATCTAGTATGAAATATGATAATCACAACTTGTTCATCATATCCTGCCTTATCCTATTACCTTAGGGTCGACGCACCCTGTTTTCGTCCTCCAAAGCACTCTATCATCCGTCATTTCAGTTATCATTCCCTTCTTGATCATTTCACCTTCACGCAATCCATCCATCTCTTTCTAGGTCTACCTCTTGTTGATATAATAAAAACAATTATTGAATAAAATGCTAAGCAGTAAAAAGCTAAAATAACTAAGCATTTCCTTTAATAACTCAGTGACAATGATTTCATCAAGCCTATGTATAGAACATTAAACATTCTAAAAATAACAACATTCATTTAAATACATAATTGGTGCTTCTGATGTATAAACAGAGATAGTGTAACAAGGTCGCAAACTTTTAGATATACATTTTAATTATACAAAATTATCTTGATTATTATTTCAAACACAGATTCAACCTATGCAACTAAGAATACTATCTCCATATGAGGTTAAGACTAGGACTGAGGAGAGTGCCATCTGTGCTCGGACACCTCAAGCCCGGAATCTGTAAATGCCTCTTCAAGGCAAACAGTGGCCATTCAGTCACAAAAAAAAATCCTTCATATATACTAATGTTATAAAGAGGAAAGATTTGTATTTTTGTATGTATTTAATTCATGCAAAATCTACTGGGCCAATTTTAAAAATTCTTTTACCATTAGAAAGGTAAGTTATTTATTAGTAACATAGGCTTGTATTATCTTTCAATTTCACGCAGGCGAAGCTGCGACGAACAGCTAGTTATATTGAAAAAGGAATGTCAGTAGCACAAAGGATAAGTACTTAACTTATAACAGGTATTGGGTTTAAATTCTGCCACGAACTAATGTGATGTCATATGTACATTAATTTACTAGTCATTATTATGGTGAACGTAAACAAAATGATGCAATCTGCATATATCTGTGAAGAAGCTCAAAGATATGTGTGAAGCCAGCCATCAGTAGGCCAGTGTAGTGGTCAGTAAGCTCAGAACCCTTAGGTGTGGATGTATACCTGATAGATATACTAATATAATAAAGTGTAAACACACAATACTTTATATTTTCATGCTACTATACTCAGGAGGTAAATAAATTAGAAAAATAACCTTAATCTGCGAAAGAGACCATAAACTACATTCGGCCAATATTAAGGCAGCAAGGTTAGTATAGTGATGATAATTTTGAAAATTGCAATTGTGAATTTGACAGATGCAAACAAAGTTTTTATAATTTCATTCGGATGAATCCGCACAGAAACAACTAGTAGAATATAAAATAACAAAAATGGATAAGTTAAAACATAAATCATGTGTTTGTTCTTGTTAAAAATTATAAGAGCATACACATGATTTATGTTTTAACTTATCCATTTTTGTTATTTTATATTCTACTAGCTGTTTCTGTGCGGATTCAAAAAAAAAAAGTTGTTAAAAATTATAAGAACATACACATTTACATAGTAAATAGTAGATTCTTTATGAGTTTTAAGTAAGTTATTTTAATTGTTTTATCATTTTTATGACTTGCATAATATGTATGTTTTATGTCTGAGTGCACTTATGTTCCTCTGGTTCAAAATGTATGAAGTTTCTTGCTTGTTTTATTTATAATTTTAATTATATACTTTCGCAGTTTTACTTATATTTCAATAAAAGTTATGCATTTGAATAAAAATGAAAAATGTATAGTTTTTAAATTTACTCGCAGGATAGATTTAAATGCATCAAATTAATTAATTCAATGCATTTATGGAATGTTCTAGTCTAGTATGGGTATTAAAGCAATCTTAAAACTGAATTTTCTAAAATCTAGTCATAATAAAATTGGACAATTCGAAAAGTCTTAACATCTTATTGGATCTTTATATAATGGTTGAAATGTCATAATAAAAGTAATCTTACTAATATTACAAACATTTAGAGATGGATGGATGTTTAAGTATTACTAAAATGGCTCAATGGATCTCAATTAAATTAGGCATGGCTGTAGAATACAATCTAGGAGAACACATAAGCTACATGTCAATTTTTTTTCTGCCCTGGCATAGTCACAGGTAGTAATAATAATATAAATAAAAACAGGTGTTTTCCAAACAACTATACTGTTAAACCTAAATAAGATACTGGTTAATAATGGTTTAAAACTCAACACCAAATGTTTGGAATGCACCCTCTTATCCAAACTGTAATTACGGTACATTATCAGAGAATTTGAAATCAGAATGCACCAATGACTCAGGGTTAGTCAATTCTTGATGCATGTACACATTTAAAATCTATTACAATAGATGTAAAGGTTGTTTTTCTTTGAAATCATGTGATAAAATTTTGTAGAGGGATTTGTGGATTGGGTATCGTCAGCAAAGTCACAAGAAACAGGGTATACCACGGACACTACTTCCAATAGTGATATATAGAAGATAGCTTAAGCTGCTGTTACTATGTACTACACTAGCTAGTAGCTAGCCTTATATGTTCCATTGGTCTATTGCTAGCTGAGATCTGAGACTGGATTGACAGTGCTGAGTACACATCTTTGTAGTACATATACAAATGTTTGTATTAGTACTTAATTTGAAAATAGAATAATTACCAGCAGGTGGGTGTGGCGTTGTCCACGGTGTCTTGGTTGGGCTGCGAAGGAGACTCGGCTCCCCGCGCGCCGCCCGCCACTGAGGATGCCGTGGTGCCGCGCTGCCTCCTCACTGACCCCGCATCCTCCCTCACTGTCCGCACAATCGCACTGATATTATCTCCAACTTAACGACACCACTATTTGCATCTCTACCTGAAACCACCACTACACTTTAACGCACTGTCAATTCCCTTACCACTTTTTCCAACGTACGAAGTATTCGATATCACTGACACTCGTCACTCGGCAAACGTTAATCTCTAGCGTGCCATGTAAAAATCACCTCCGAATGGTGCGATCACGCCCAAAATCATCACACACGGATATATTCAGCATAAAAATGGCAACCTTCAAAAATAATGACCCGACTAATCTCACAAGTCCACCATGGAATACTGTAATATTTATAAACTTTCACAGGTTAATTATAGACCAGACGCTACTTTTAACGTTTGAACATAAGTAAAAGTTAAGAAAATAATATTTATAAATAGCTTGAGATTATTTTGATACAAATCTATATCGGTCAAACATCACTTCATACACACCCTCGAATTGGGTGGAGCAGATCCTCTTCTTTCTCTTTATTAAACGTTTAACATATGAAAATTAGCACGTATTAGTTAATAAGACTACAATTAAATGACCTACACCCTGATAACTACAAAGACATTTTTGTAGCAATGACAGCGATCCGTATCGGCTTCACAGAACCTACAGAAAAAAATCAACATGTCGCCTGCTGTGATATTACAGAAAGGTGTTTTATAGTGGCAAGTTCAGTAAATCGAGATAAAGGGGCGTGGTCAGCTGAAATTGAGATTGTTTAAACCTGATGTAATCATTGACGTCCGATTGTTATTTAAAAATAAGTTAAGCCTTAATTAAGATGAGAAAACATCAATAAGTTTTCAGAAGAAAAGTGTTTTCCAACTTCCTTACCCTTTTAATGTCCGACTCTTAAAATAATACATTTTTGTTCAGTGGACTACAGTTCTAATATTATTTAGAAAATCACTTTGTAAGACGGTATTTACAAATAAAAAGTTTCTTAATTAATTTAGTTATTGTTTAATTTAATTTAATGATTTCCATAAAGAATAATGATTAGGTGTCTACAATTTTGTGTCATCTCTAATCTCTTTGCATTGTCAAAGTCAAAATCAAATTGATTTGTCAAACATTGGTGGCGCGTAGTTTTGTTGTGTATTAACTTTGATAAGATATTGTTTAATAATTATTTCATTTTCGGGTAATATTAAATAATCGTTCAAACAATGACATCATACAATAAAACATTTCTATTATTAGCTTCAAAGTTAGGTCTTCAAGACGAAGAGAAGGTTTTGAGGTAAGGTTTTTCGGTATACTTTACAATAGCGAATTTTGCAGAATTTTCATACAAGTTACCGTAAATCATAGTGAATGAGGAAAATCTAGCTATAATTGGTTGTGGTATTTACCAGAAAATGCCTTAATTACAGGAAAGCTGCAGAATTGGAGCGTCTTTTACAAACAAAGACTATTGCGGGTAGTAACATAACAGACAATAGTAAAATGGTTATATGTCTAGATTTGGCTGCGAACATGTATGGTGTAGATTTAGATTTGGTAAGTATGAATTATTTAAAATGTAACCCAGTATGATTAAATATTTACTACACATAGTTTGTAATTTTGTTAATCCTTAATTAAAATGATAAACTGTAAAAATAATCTGATTTTTTAACTGTTATTTATAAGTTCAAGGTTTTAAAAAACATAACTTTTTTCACCTGACAAATTAAGGGTTAAAGATATGTAAATCCCTAATCTTTGTTAGTATAACTTAAAAATGTCTATTTTTCTTTGCTGATTATTCTATGTTATTTTTTTTTAATTCATATAAGTATACACAACAGCTAATTTATTCACACAATTCAATCACAAATTCAACAAGTATACACAAATCAGATAAGTTAGCCAACAAGGTGCATAACTACATTATATTATAGGAAACAATTTACTACATGATGATATTTCTTTATATGTTGTGTACTATTACTTGTATTGTTTCAGAAAACATCAGTCAAATACTCCGGTCTTAAACAACCAACATATATAAATTCAAGAAAAATATTGGAAAATCTCTTAGAGTTAAATGATGATAAAATGTCAATTTCATTTTTATGTATAACACTTCAATGTACTGAAGTGCAGAAATTAGCTGAAGAAATACTTGAAGAGTATAAGAAAAAATCTAAAATGGTAAATGTAACTGTTTTTATCATGGGAACACTTTAGCCAACTTAGAATGGCCGCTATTATTAATAAACATGTATTGTGTACTAGCTTTTGCTTGCCACTACCATCTGTAAAAAAGTAAGTAGACTATATGTTCTTCCAAACTGGTCAACAAGTATACCAAATTTTATCAAAATCCATTTAGACATTTAGGAAATGGTTTGTAACAAATATCCATCCATCTAAACTTTCGCATTTGCAATATTAGTAAGATTGTTTAGTTTTAGTACTACCAGCACCTAGTTATTTTTTATGTACACCCTTTTTTATCATGCCCTTAAGAGTGGGGTTAACAGAGTAACATGAGATTGTAATACACAGATCTGTACTTCCCTGGGCGGTCGCCCAATCTCATGTTATGCTAACAGTACTCACAAATTGTTGTTTCAGGAGATTGATATAAACTTACCACAATATGTGTGTATGGCTGTATACCATGCTTGCAGGTAAATATTCAAATGACAATTTTTATAAAAATTATTATTGTTATACAATATATTTTTTTTACAAAAGATAATTTAGCATATTTTTAATTTTCGTCTGATGAGTGTGGTGCCGGAGGCCTAATTTTAGTCCCTTCCCCTTTCCACCCTTTTCTTAAGAGGAAAGGATGGGTAGGAAAAGTGGATTTGACAGTGGAGGAGAAGCATAGGAAGGGGAAATATCCTCTTTATGTGCGTCTCCTCATCCGTCAATTAATGGTAGGCAACGCATCTGCAATTGCGGATGTTTATGGGCAGCGGTCGCTTTCCATTTCGGTGGATTCAGGTGGCCGCTTGCTCATTTTCCACCTCATATAACATTGAGTTATTTCAATATATACAAAAATATAAATCTTTAGTCTTTATAATATTAGTAGTGTATATTAATTTTTTTTACTTTGGATTACAGATTAAATAAGGTGAAAATAACAAAAAGCAAAATAATTGATAAATCCCGCCTAAAACCATCACAGTGGACTAAATTAGATTCAGAATGGACAAAATTCGTAAATGATAATTTTTCTACTGTTAAAAAGACAAAAGGACGTCCTCGTAAACAGAATACAGAAGGTATGTATATAAACTGTCTGAATGAAACAAAATTTAAACTACAACTTGATAAAAGGTAAATAAAAAAATCATATAAAAGTCAAGAAATGAAAATAAGATGACACCAGATGTTTTTTACATTACACTAGCTTTCGCCCGTGACTCCGACCGCGTGAAATTAAAAAATAATTACTCACAGATAAATTACCTTTCTAACGGTAAAAGAATTTTAAAATTAAGCCCAGTAGTTTTTTAGTTAGTTCAATACATACAAAAATACAAACCTTTTCTCTTTATAATATTAAGTATAGATACAAAATATTCCTTACATTTAGTAATCACAAAATAATATAATTTTAGATACTAATAATGGAACAGAAAATAATACATCAATTAAAGAAGAACCAATAGAAGAATTGGAACCATACAATGTATGGAAGAAACGTATCCTTGAAGAAGCTTACAAAGAACTAATGGCTTTAGAAGAAATAGAAAAGGCTCAAGAGGTTATGTCAATAAGACGATCTCCAAGGAAAACCCCACAAAAAAATTCACCATACAAAATACCTATTAAAGGAAAGGGCATTAAATTACTATTTCCTTTGAATTAGAACATCTTAATAATAAATATTTTTTTTATAATTTTGAACTAACCTAAAAATTCTATAAATATTCATGACTAGCTGTCGTCCTCGATATCGTCCACGCAATTTTAAAATACAAAGTAGCTTATATACAGACAGACAAAAAATTTAAATGCCATTTTCGTTAACAGTAACGCAAATACATCCTCTTTCCGAATTCTAGAATCTTTCTTTTGATATTACTGACAATCCAATTTTATTTTATGTAGCGACTAGCTGTTCCCGTGCGGCTTCATCCGCATGAAATTACAAAAAAAAATTATTGTTTACATTTGTCAAATTATCAATTGTAAATGTCAAAATGACATCAAATTATAACAAACAATGGTAACTTTGCTTCCTTGATGTTGGCTGCAACTTATGGTTTCTTTCCCACATTAGGGTTTTTATCCAAAATATTTACCCCCTAAGTTTATGGCGTGAAAATATATAGCCTAAAGCCTGACGTAAGTGTAGGGCTTTTATTAAAAAAAAGAATTATTCAATATGTAGTAATTGCTGACATCTTAGGTAACAAAGAAGTGTGTGTTTACGCTTTATTATAATAGTATAGATATAGAGTACCGTCCAATAAAAATATTGGCTATAGACAATTAAAATTTATTTTAATAAACCAATTGGTTAAATCTATAAGGCCATGCTAGTCATTAACAAAATGATGTTTGTAATGAAATTTATAATTTTCTCTGTATATTTAACGTTTGTGCAAAGTTTAAAAGGAACTAATGTGACGATTTTACAAAGGAAACCTAACAATAGCGATATTCTTTTCGAAGATCCGACACGTCCAAGTCTATCATATCCTACATCTTTGGCTTTTCTTTTTATCTTCACGACTTTATTAGTAGGTGTGGTAGTCAGGGCGGTTATGCTATGGACCAGTACCGTACTTCCTTATAGAGTAATCATGTTTTCTTTAGGCGGTATCGCTGGCTTCTGTGCGAATAGATACCCGTCTTTCAAACCTTACGTAGAAATCTGTTATACAGACATAGATATAATTTTGATAGTTTTCCTTCCAGTTCTTATGTTCAGTACATCCTATGCAGTCGATTCTCATTCCTTCTGGAAAAGTTTCCCACAGATTCTATTAGTAGGTACACTCGGTACGTTATTAACATCATTAATGTTGGCTTTCATGGCTTATTATCTGATTGAATCGTCATGGAATTTTACAACTGCTGTACTGTTCGGTGTAGTCTGTGCCCCGATTTATCCAACTGAGGTTGTTAAACGGTTGAAAGAGATGTCACGTGGGAAATATATAAGTGTGCTGCTGTTGGGGGAAGGTTTGATTGGTGATGCGACAGCTATGATCGAGTTTACAGCTGTTTTTGGTTATTTAGCTATGGCTATAAGTGAAGCATCTCAGATAGCGATGCTTTTAATAAGATATGCTGGAGGGGGAATACTATTGGGTGTAATCACCGGCAGGATTATAGCTGGTTTACTCTCTATAACTTATAACGATTTATTATGTGCGGTAACAGTTACTTTAGCGGGTGCATATTTAACATACTACGTTGGGGAGAAGTTCTTTTACGTGTCTGGTTTACTGGGGACTGTGATAGCAGGTGTTATTGTCAGTAGAAGAAAATCAACGGTAGCTGGAGATGTGGAGCAAGTTGTGGCACATTTCTGGAACATTCTATCCCATGCGTCGAACACTTTGGTCTTCACTATGGTTGGAGTTGTTATATTCGAGAAGGTCAGCTATGTGATGAGTGTACGGCAAGTTTCTTTGATCTTCGTAACGTATTCGACTGTCTACTGTTCGAGGCTGATGGTATATTCAGCAATGACGCCGATTTTAAGGCACATTGGTTATGGAATATCGTGGCAACACTCGATGGCTTGTGTGTGGGGAGGGTTGAGAGGACCACTCTCTTTGTGTTTGGCGTTGATTGTGCTACAAACTCCTGGAGTAGCAGATGCTGGAGAGGTATGTATTTTTTAAATATCTATGTACTCAAATGATCAATTAAATACTACAATTGTGAGTTTTCACTTACTTTTTTAGATATTTATCATACAAACAGCAGGACTTGTGTTATTGTCCTTACTCATTAATGCTATAACAATGGGAAAAGTCCTTAAAATCTTAGGCTTGGCCGAGATATCCCTTGCTAAGAAAGCTAATATGACGAACTGTGTGAAACGAATCATGTTGACGAGAGATCGTTGCATTTCAATGCTGAAGATGGATAAGTTTCTAGCAGACGCTAATTGGGATCTTGTACAAGCAGGTTTAAAAATATTTAACTGTAATCAAGATATAAACATCAGAATTATTACTTTAATATGCGAAGTTAGGATAGATGTTTGTAATCACGTAAATACAGAACAGTTGCACGGACCTGACTTAAATTTTAAACAAGTTTTTTTTATAACATAAGGTGGCAAACGAGCAAGCAGCCACCAAAATCCGCCAAAATGGCGAAGCGACCAGACAGATGCGTTGCCTACCCTTATCCGACGAAGGAGGAGACACACGTAAAGAAGATATTTCCCCTTCCTATGCATCTCCTCCATCGTCAAATCCACTTCCGGTAAAGAGACAGGGACTTAAATTAGGCCTGAGGCACCACACTCATCAGACGAAACACGGAATTGCTTCCATTTCACGCCTGTCTTCTGTGTGGTCGTGGCATTACACCGGGCGTGCCGGTCCTGCAATGCTAAGATTTAAAAGCGGGCACTACCACTGTTGTGCCCGCTTAAGTAGGCTATAAGGCCAGATACATGGTGAGATTGACTAGTCTGGAATTCTAGTCTTATCTAGTTAAGTAATGTACACTTACAATCGCAGAAAGTACAAGTGCTTTAAAGACATATCGTTCTAAAAGTCTAGGACAGTCATAGTGGTTGATAATTAACTCACTCCATTAACTGTTTAAAGGTACCACAATAAAACATCCATATCAAATACAAATGTCTAAACGTGATGATGATTATGAAGACGATACTTATATGGGCTATCATTATTCCACTTGCCCGGACTGTGAGAGGGAAATCCCTAATGAACCCACTAAGAAAGAGTTCGCCGAGATGATGAGGTAACATGGAGTAGATAGATTTTATAACATAAGGTGGCAAACGAACAAGCTGGCATTTGTTCTCCGAAATAACAAAGAAGGGCGGATCCAGCTTTCGCGCCAGGGGGGGGGGG